ATGTGGGTCAGAGATTTGGGGTTTTGAAAACTTTGACTTATTAGAGCGGGTGCACCTAAAATTTTGCAAACTCATTTTACATTTAAAGCAATCAACCCAAGACTGTATAGTTTATGCTGAACTAGGCAGATTCCCAATACTTCTTTATGCAAAAGTTCGTATGATAAATTTTTGGGACAGAATTATAAACGGTAAAGAGTGTAAAATTTCTCATGTTCTTTATAAATTATTACTTATAAATTTAAATAACTATGGTTTTGAAAGTAAATGTTTGATTTATATAAAAAATGTTTTAGATAATTGTGGAATGTCTAATATTTGGAATATGCAGTTTGCTGACAAATGGGTATCAAAAAGTGTGGAACAAAAACTTAAAGATCAGTTCACACAATTATGTTTGTCACATATAGATAGCTTACCTAAATGCCTATGTTATAGAATTTTTAAGACTAATTTGAAATTTGAGAATTATCTCAACATATTGCCTAATAATTTATTATTTGTATACTGCAAATTTAGATGTGGAAGTCACCGGTTACCAATTGAGACGGGAAGATGGCGAGGCTTGTCACGAAACGACAGACTTTGTCATCTCTGCGATTCAAGTGGTATTGGTGACGAATATCATTACATCACGACTTGTAAATCTTTGGATGTAGAGAGAAAGAAATTTTTACCTGAATATTGCTGTAAAAATCCAAATACATACAAATTTAATGGTTTATTTAATTCAGACAATACTATCATTTTAGAAAAATTATGTAAGTTTATAAAAATAATACAGGTGAAAGTCAGTCCTCCAAGTTTAGTTACGTTTGTTCACACATGTGCATGCTTATATATACATATATGTAATTGTAGATATATATTTTCTCTGTAACTATGACATGTAGTTTTGTGAGAATAAAGTTCATATTTCAACCCTGCACATTTCAAATGTTACCAGTCCAAACAACAATCACAGGCCAAAGAGTCCTGATCGTGTAGGTTTTTTTGACATTTGATAGATATCCATTCGCATGATTCTCTTCTTTCGTTGATCCGAATTTTAAGTTGCTTCCACGCTTCAAAGGTAAAATATTTTTTGATGCGCTGAAGGTTTACATTTTTGTCAAATATTTTGTTATTTATTAACGAAGCATCTAGAAGATTATTGGCATCGGCCTTTGTTTTATCAGAAATAATTTTTGTGTTTCCAGTTCTTCTTTTCTCTGCAGCTGCAGTTGACTCCGAGTTTCTTTTATACACTTGTATAAAATTAATCGACTGATAGTTCTGAACAAATTGTTCCAATTCTTGATAACTTTGAAATGTCTTCCCCACATGTATATCACTCTCTTACATTTTAAGAATATTTATTAACTGAGAAAAACTGTTCACTTACCTATATATAAATATTCATAAAAATTCTGAGTAGTTTTAATCAATTTATTCACTAATTGCGACAAATTCCGTATATATTTCACGTTTCATTCCCGATCCGATGGCATTTTATTAAAAAACCGGATGTGGGTACGCGTAGCCTATGGAATGGCCATTTGACTATTCGTACCCGGATGCGGGTACGCGCAGACACTGCCAACATTTATAGTGTCATGGACAGAAAGATTCCCCATGGGCAAGGTCGACTGTTACTGATGATAAACAAGAGATGATGTTTTGTGAATATTGCCGTTATTTTCTCGATCTCGCTGATAAAAAGTCTGCTTTGTATGTGGGAACAACAAATATACGAATTGAACCACTGGTTTAACATGACAATATCAATGAACATGTTTTCTGTGCCCGAAAATATTTAACAACCCATAGTACAAGGGATATCCAAAAAGATGTCTTGAGATCCTTGTTATAATTAATAAAACAAAAATTTATTTGATTTATTTTATCAAATACCGTGTATAATGCCGCATTCAAAACAAGGGACACCCACTCTAAATTTGAAAGGTATACTCGGGCTAGCAGGTCAGTTTTGATGGGCTAGCAGCTCTTTCAACAGGGCTAGTAAAATCCTGCTACCAATAAGTCCTGGGCTAGTGAGCTGTAACAAATTTTTTTAACCCCTGGGCACAGCAAAAAACACACAAAAAGCAAATGAACAGCGCTTTTATTGCTGTTCTTCATCTCAAAGTCACAGTGAGGCCTCCAACAAGGAGAAAAAAATACTCTCAACTTACTGCAAGTTTAAGAGGCCTCTAGTACCATTTGAACGGAATTCTTTGCAAAATAATTCGGATACATATAGACTTTGTAAGATGTAACAGATTTAGAGGGTTTTTCAGGGGGCCAAACCCCCCCCCCCTTTTGTGTGAAAAATTGGTTGATTATATAGGGAATCACTGAAGCATGACTAGAGCTTGCCCTCTCTTAACCAGTCAGTGGGCCCCCTCTTGTTAAAAGTTTGTGTTTATGTCAGTTTAAGGGGAATTGCTTATGATAAGTCAATGATATTTGGTATGCAAATGATGCAGTTGTATTAGCATTGGCATATCTTATTTCCAGGGAAATTATTAGGCCCTGAGTGTACCTTCACTCTTAGTTCATTGACTTTGAATATTTTGCTTATTTTACATGTTCTAGTATTACTATTTTAACTTCAACATTTGCATTTCACTATCAAAATTACAAAAATGTGAGATATATCTCTGTGTCAACAGTTTATTATATAAGGTATTCATTGAACATGTTGAAAAGTACTAACTATACAAATGGAAAAGAAACCGTCGTATTCATTGAATATATGTATGATTTGTATTGAACATGTTGAAAAGTACTACCTACAAATGGAAAAGAAACAGTCAGCATGAAAGATAATGAAATCACAACAGTCAGTGCTGGAGTATACATGTAACCTTAATTAGTATTGGAATAGATATAGGAAGATGTGGTATGAGTGCCAATGAGACAACTCTCCGTGCAAGTTACAATTTATAAAAGTAAACCATTATAGGTCAAGGTACGGCCTTCCAACACGGAACATTGGCTCACACCGAACAGCAAGCTATAAAGGGCCCCAAAAAATCACTAGTGTAAAACAATTCAAATGGAAAAACAAACGGTCTAATCTATATAAAAACTGTCGGTCTGTCTGTCTGTCCATCTGTCAGTCGGGCAAATCAGTTTTCCAGACTTTTTTTTCTTCATGCTTGAAGATATTGATTTGATATTTGGTTTATTGATTTATCATGACAAGTTACAGGTCAAGTTCAATTTTCACGATTTTAGCTTTTCTCTTAGTTCACCCGTACAGAAATTGCTAACAAAAGCACATACGTTTCACATGTGAAGCACATGAGATGCAAATAAGAATTGTATGCAAATCAGATTGCTCACATGTGCAGTTTGGTAGTTCATATGTGCCCAAAAAAATCTAAACATAATGCTCATATATGTGCAATTCAAACCTCAGGTGAGCTTTTATCATCTATCTTAGTTTTATGTTAGTTTTGTACTTTGAAAAGTTTGTATATTCTTCTAACCATTTAAAACTAACGTAGATCATTGCTCATATGAGCTTTTTCAAAATGACATGCCCAGTCATGTACGTCCTGTAAATTCAAATTCAAAGCATCAATTTGGAGGGAGATGGAGATGAAAAATTTTAAGCCATATTTTGTGCTATTTGAACTTGATGGCATTGTTGGAATCTGATAAAACCAGTGTGGCTGTTGTTAATTATTTGTAAGTTATCATTTCTATTTCATCATGTTCATTTTTGTTTCAGATTCTGAAATACATTACAATTTTAAGTCCTTTATGGGAGTATGCATGTTGCTTCAAATAAGTACTACATGTATATAGATAATTCCTGTTTTAAACTTTCTGAAATACAGTACTTAATCAAAGACATTCATTATGTACTAAACTTGAAATTAAGTCCCTGCACTAGTTTTATAATGTAATGTAATGTAATGTTTTTAGTCATTATTGTTTGAATAACAAAAAAGACAAAATAATATGAAAACCACAACTGACAGTAATAAAAATGATAAAGAATAACACTTAACATGATGTGTCATTTATTGTATTTTCAATTATTTAAGATTTTCATTTAAATTTGAAAAATTATCCTCTTTTTTTTTTTATCTTTAGACACAATTTAATCATCATCATCTGGAAATAATTAGATACCAAAATCAAATGGGTCAACTAATATTCACGTGTGCAACATGTTATCGAGCAGCTGCTCATATGAGCAATCTGATAAAATGCACATGTGAAACAAAAGCTCATATGAGCATTTGCAAGTGAGGTTATTAACATTCAAATTAGGTTAGTTTCATATGTGCATTTTTTTTGCTCACAAAATGCTCACCTAATTTGCATGTTAAAAACCTCATGTGCAATCATGTTAGTTTCTAACGTGAGCATCTTATGTGCAACATGTTAGTACCGTTTGGTAAGGGCAGTTAAAGCTCTTTCCAAAGAATTAAATTTTTGATGAAATATTTATTAATTAGTAGATATCTGTTCAAAGGGAAATAACTCATTTTTTAAAAGACAAAATGACATTTTGGATTTTTTTCCTTTTCTTTGGTAAATTGTTTGAAGAATTTAGTGGTAGGTTTGTTTGTCATTCTTGAAGATATTGATTTGATAATTAGTATATAGTTTTATCATGACAAGTTACAGATCAAGTTGGAATTTTGTTCCAGTCTGATAATTTTATGCAGAGTTACGGTCTTTGGACATAGAAAATTCAATTAAATAATCAGTTTTCAACAGTTTTTTTCGTCATGCTTGAAGATTTTGACTTGATATTTTATGTAGTTTACACAAAAACAAGTTATAGATCAAGTTAGAATTTTGTTCTATTACAATGAGATTGTAACCGGTCATGCTGGTAGGGGACTATGTATTGCCATGCAATACTCACAGAATGCTTGTTTTTCTCTGAAAATCGCTGATGTTCCAAAGATAAATTTAGACATGTTAGATATTTGATAAACATGATAAAGAATACATGCCTTTAACTAATTTCATAATTATCTTCTCTTTATCAGACTCAAGGAAATTTAGAGAAAACAACAGCGGACAAAAAAGGAGAGAAAGAAATATAATGTCTTACAGCAAGGATGCTTTAAGTTCCAAAAATGTCTCCACTGACCAGACTACAGGTCAGTTAATTCAAGAACACATCATTTTTCCTGATGGAGGAAGCAGTTATACATGTGAAGTGTGTTGTAAAGAAATGACGAGTAAAGCAAAGTTGGAGGAACATATCATAACGCATACTTCAATGTTAGAGGAACATACGAGAACCCATGCTGCAAGGTTAGAGGAACATATGACAGAATCAGAGGAACGTATGACAACATACACTGCAAGATTAGAGGAACATATGAGAACACAAAATGCAGAGGTTGAGGAATACATGTATATGAGAACATATAATGCAGAATCAGAGGAGCATATGACAACCCATACTTTAGAATCAGAGGAACATATAAGAACATATACTACAGAGTTAGAAGAACACATGACAACACATAATGCAGAGATTGAGGAACATATGAGAACATATAATGCAGAGTTAGAGGAACAGATCAGAGCATATGCAGTGGAGTTAGAGGAAAATATGAGAACAGATACTGAGAAGTTAGAGGAACAAATGAGAACACATACTGAAAGGTTAGAGGAATTTATGAGAACACATACTGGAAATAAGCATCATGAATTCGATATGACTGATAAAGAATTTAGTCAGAAAGGGCACTTGCAGACACAAATAAACCAACACAAGGGTGATAGACCATTTAAATGTGATGTGTGTTCTAAAACGTTTGGTCAAAATGTGAATTTACAGGCACACTTAAGTATACACACTGGTGATAAACCATATGAATGTAGTGTATGTGGAAAAGATTTCAGTCGTATTTCGAACTTGCAAAGACACATGAGAGTACATACCTCTGATAAACCTTATAAATGTGATGTATGTAGTAAAGGGTTTAGTACGAATCAGAACTTACAGACTCACATAAAAATACACACTGATGTTAAACCATATACATGTGATATATGTGGTACAGGGTATAATAGCGACCAGAGCTTGCATAAACACATGAAAACACATACAGGTGATAAACGTCACAAATGTGAAATATGTGGACTAGGGTTTAGTAACAGTTCACACTTAAAGAGACACTTTAGAACACATTCTGGTTATAAACCTTATGAATGTGGTGTATGCGATAAAAGGTTCAATCAAATTCCAAACTTGAAGAGACATATCAGAACACACACTGGTGATAAACCTTTTAACTGTGAGATCTGTGGTAATAGATTTAGTCACAAGAACAGCTTACAGATACACATGAGAACACATAGTATGATACTGGTGTTTGAACAAAAAGATTCGACAGTCGCAGCTACAAACGTACAGAATTCCCAGCATGCCCAGTAAGATATTTAGTCAAAGACCCCAGTGACAGCATGTAATTATATAAGGAATGGTATATATGTACGTGTATGTGTGGTGAAGTAGTGTGTTACTGTGCTTAGCTAGAAACATGATCATTTTAATGGTACTGTTTTACTGAAAACTGTAATGTATGTACATGGTGGGTTTCTGATAAAGTCCTCCACTTACATTGATACAAGAAAAATAAACTCCACATTCCTTATACACCTTTCTTGGAAATAATTCAGTCAGATAAGTCATTTTTTTAAATTCTAGTGACAAGTGTATATACACAGTTAAACCTTATAAATGTGGTACATGTGCTAAAGTGTTCAAAATGGTTGAGTGAAAAAAACTGTAAATGATAAAACACATACTGGACTTGAAGCTTATAACTATAATGAACAATGATGAACATGGTTAAAGATTAAGTGAGGACAGTCATGTCAGTACCTCCATGGATATATCGAAACACACCAGAAATAAAGTTCATATATGTGATGTACATGGTAAACAACAGCATGAACAGTGTCTGAACACATGATACACATTAGAACACATGCTGTAAATAATTTATGAATGGGATGAACATAGTTAACATGGTTAAAGGGTTAAGTGACGACAGTGCCTGCCATGGACAATTAAGAACACATACCAGGAATATAGTTCATATAATTTGATTAACATACATGACAGAATCATGATAATGAAGAGTTGAGTGACAACAGTGTTTGTCTTGTACACAATTCACATTCCATTAGAACACATACAAAACATGAAAAATCATATATGTGATGAACAAAGTAGAATACATACAGGAAATAAGGTTTGTTGTTGTGATGAACATCAGTGTATCCCAAACTCTGTCTGACTGACAAAATGTCATACAAAAAATCATTCAGTCAGACAGAACTTTTAAGAAATTTATTTTTAGGTCAGACAAATCCCTAAAACAGTTTTGCACAGACTACAAACCTGGGAAGGGGTTGTGTCACAACAGTGTTTGTCTTAAACACATTAGAACACATACCAAAAAATAAAGTTTATTATTATGATGAACGTGGGAAAGGGTTGTGTCTTAAACACATTAGAACACATGATGGAAATAAGGTTTATTGTTGTGATAAACAAGGGATAGGTTGTGTCACAACAGTGTTTGTCTTAAACACATTAGAACAAATTCCAAAAAATAAAGTTTATTATTGTGATGAACGTGGGAAAGGGTTGTGTCACAACAGTGTCTGTCTTAAACACATTAGAACACATGCTGGAAATAAGGTTAATTCTTGTGATGATCATTGGAAAGGTTGTATATCTTCAACATTTTATAACACATTTCAGAAATGAATTTCATTTATGTAAAAACATGGTTGAAGGGTTGAGTGACTAAAGTTCTTGTCTTGTACAAAGTATTTCCCTTCTTTCTTTGTTGTGATGATACACTATTGTTTCAGATAAGGGTGAAGGCTTGGTACCATTAAAACGTTTAAACTCGCTGCAATTTTGCACCTGTCCTAAGTCAGGTTTATAAATGTGAGGAACATGGTAGAGGGTTGATTGACAACAATGTCTGCGTTATATACATAAAGAAAAACATACCAGAAATACACATGATACACTTAATATATATATATATATGTTAAGCATGATAAAGGGTTGAGCGATGAAAGTGTTTTATAATAGAAAAAACAAAGGATATGGGGTATTAATCTATGTCACAAAATCTGTACATGCACAGCATCAAACACACAAAAAGCAAAGTAACAGTGCTTTTATTGCTGTTCTTCATCTGAATGTCACATTATACATGTTATACACATTAGAATGCATACCAGAATTGTGATAAACATAAAGGATTGAATAACAGCAGTGTTTGCCTTATTTACATTAGAACATTAACCATACATTCCAGAAACGATGTTCATAGAAAAATGATAAGAGTTGAGTGACAAAAGTGTTTGTTTTACATGTACATGTCTTATACACATTAGAACACACACAAAACATGAACATTCATATATATATGTATGTGATAAAGGGTTAAGGGATAAGCGTGTTTTTCTTATACACATTAGAACACATACCAGAAATGAAGTTCACATATATATGTGATGAACATAATAAAGGGTTGAGTGACAACAGTGTTCGTCTTGTACACATTAGAACACCTACAGAAAATAAAAGTTCATGAACATGGGGAAGGGTTTAGTGAAAACTGTTTCGGTGTCTGTCTTTTACAGAGTAGGACAGAGTGACTTGGCATAAGGTTTATAATTCTGATGAACATGGGAAAGGGTTGTGTCACAACAGTGTTTGTCTTGTACACATTAGAAAAAATACCAAAAATAAAGTATTATTATTATGAAAATGAGAAAGGGTTGTGTCACAACAGTGTTTTTCTGGTACACATTAAAAAACATGCCAAAGATAAAGTTTATTGGCGTGACGAACATGAGAAAAGGTTGTGTCACAGCATTGTTAGTCTTAAACACATTAGAACACATACCAAAAATAGTTTATAAGCGTGACGAACATGAAAAAGGGGTTGTGTCACAACAGTGTGTGTCTTGTACACATTAGAACACATACCAAAAATAAAGTTTATCATTGTGATGAACATGAGAAAGGGTTGTGTCACAACAGTGTTTGTCTTGTACACATTAGAACCGTACCAAAAATAAAGTTTGTATGTGTAATGAGCATGGGAAAGGATTGTGTCACAACAGTGTTAGTCTTATACACATTAGAACCCATACCAAAAATAAAGTTTGTATGTGTAATGATCATGGTAAAGGATTGTGTCACAACAGTGTTAGTCTTATACACATTAGAACAAATACCAAAAATAAAGTCTATAAGCGTGACGAACATGGGAAAGGGTTGTGCCACAACAGTGTTTGTCTTAAACACATTAGAACGCATACTTAAAATAAAGTTTAAGCGTGACGAACATGGGAAAGGGTTGTGTCACAACAGTGTTTGTCTTGTACACATTAGAACACATACCAAAAATAAAGTTTATCATTGTGATGAACATGAGAAAGGGTTGTGTCACAACAGTGTTTGTCTTGTACACATTAGAACCGTACCAAAAATAAAGTTTGTATGTGTAATGAGCATGGGAAAGGATTGTGTCACAACAGTGTTAGTCTTATACACATTAGAACCCATACCAAAAATAAAGTTTATAAGCGTGACGAACATTAGAAAGGATTGTATCACAACAGTGTTTGGCTTGTACACATTAGAACACATACCAAAAATAAAGTTTGTATGTGTAATGATCATGGTAAAGGATTGTGTCACAACAGTGTTAGTCTTATACACATTAGAACAAATACCAAAAATAAAGTCTATAAGCGTGACGAACATGGGAAAGGGTTGTGCCACAACAGTGTTTGTCTTAAACACATTAGAACGCATACTTAAAATAAAGTTTAAGCGTGACGAACATGGGAAAGGGTTGTGTCACAACAGTGTTTGTCTTGTACACATTAGAACACATACCAAAAATAAAGTATAAGCGTGACGAACATGGGAAAGGGTTGTGTCACAACAATGTTTGTCTTCTACACATTAGAACACATACCAGAAATAAAGTTTATAAGCGTGATGAACATGGTAAATGGATGAAGGACAACTGTGTGTTTAATACACATTAGAACACATACTGGAAATAAGCTTACCTATTATGAAGCCCGTATAGTGACCTATAGTTGTGTCAGTGTGTCTCTTGTGGAGAGTTGTCTCATTGGCAATCATACCACATCTTCTTATTTTTATATTGTGAACACGATGAAGCGGGAGGGTTGAGCGTTCACAAACATGTTCCGCCCCGCCACATTAATTCTTTATGTGTCTGTCCCAAGTCACGAACCTGTAGTTTAGTGTTTGCTGTTGGTTCATGTCTGTAATATTTGTTTTTAAATTGTTTTGTTATAATTAGACCGCTAGTTTTGAATTATTTCACATTTTTCATGTCGGGGCCTTTTATAGTCGGCTATACGGTATAGGTTCTTTTCATTGTTGAAAGCCGTGCAGTTGCCTATATTTTCTAACATTCGCGTTATTTAGACTCTGGTGGATAATAAGTGTCATTGGCAATCAGACCACGTACGTCTCCTTATTTTTGGTAAAGGGTAAAGTGACAACAGTTTTTGTCTCATACACATTAGAACACATACTGTAAATAAATCCATAAATGAAATGTATATGGTAAAAGATTGAGTGACAACAATGTCCGTCTTATACACATTAGAACACATACTAAAAATGTTAATTTGCGTGATCAAAATTGTCCAAGAAAGGGAGGCGAAAGATACCAAAAGGACATTCGAACAAAGTCGAAAATAAATTGACAACACCATGGCAAAAAAAGAAAAGACCAAGAGACAAACAACAGTACAAAAACGCAACATAGAAAAATAAAGACTCAGAAACATGAACCCCACCAAAAACTAGGGGTTATCTCAGGTAAGCAGATCCTGCTCTACATGTGGCACTCATCGTATTGCTCATGTAAATAAAAACCCAGTAATAAGTCTCATTTGGAAAGTCACATTCGAGGAAAAGAGGACGGGATTGTGGTAACGACAATTGAAACATATCTGTCGTCATCTGGGGTTGAATGACGACAGTGTCAGTCTTTTACACATAAGAACACATACTTGAAACAGTTTATTCATAATTTGATATCTTTGCCAGATTTATTTTATTGATATTACAAGGCTTTGTTCTTCAATTCACAGTTGTTCTGTGATCGTCAGTTTGCAGTGAATTCCGTTCAAACCGAATGAAGGGGCGTTGATGTGAGAATGTTTGCTCCGTGTTGAAGGCCTCACTATGACTTTGAGATAAAGAACAGCAACAAAAGCGCCGTTCCTTTGCTGTTTTGTTGTTTTTGTTGTGCATGTACTGATTTTGTATCAGCGATTGATACCCCCATATCATTTCTCTCGTATTATGAAGATTATAAACATGGTAAAGTGCAAAGTGACTACAGTACTAGAGTCTGTTAATAACATACACAGTAAGATCATATATTGGATGAATAGGGGAACGGTAAGGGATTGAATAACTACAGTGTCTGTCTTATGCACATTAACGCATATACTGGACATAAGGTTATACATTAAATGAACATGGTGAAGGGTTGAGAGACAGCAGTGTCTGTTTTATGCATATTAGAACACATACTGTGCATATGGTTTAAAAATGTGTGAACATAGTGAAGGGTTGAGTGACAGCTGTGTCTGTCATGGACGCATTAGAACGAATTCTTGTCAATGTATATACATTCATGATCAAATTCAAGATTTAATCCTTATTAACAATAATTCAATCAGATGCTGCATTGTTTAATTACATTAGAACATTGACTTTCAAACTGGTATATCCAGCTACAAAAGGTTTCATATTCTAAGAAAAATTAACGACTATGACTACCCCTTGGATTCTTACACTTTTAGTTTACATTTCCGAATGTAAATTGTATTTTTTTCACCCCTTTTCTGTCTCCAGTAAGGGAGAATATCACACTTTGATGTCCAAATGATAATTAGAAAATCTTATTTTTACCACCTTTATCCCACATTTCCACCTTTTTACCCCTATATATCACATTCCCACCTTTTCCCCCTATATCCCACACCCTCTTAAACCGTTCTTGCCTTCACGGTTGCAGAGTCATGGTCTTTGCATGATCGGTAAAGTGCTTTCTAGTTTCTAGATGATAAATATTTTTGAAGAGCAAAGTACAAGAAATGTATTTAGATCATTATAGAGTACAATGGAGACATGATAATTTGAAATAATGCGTGTATAACGAAAATTTATAAAACTTCTATCAAGCACCTTGTAGGTTATCGTTAAATGAGAATGGGAACATCGGGTATCCCGATCCGGAACCCGGAGAGATCGGAATCCCGAAGAGCAATTAATGAAAAGTTTATAATGGTGGGGAAGTAAAATCTGAATCCAATTCCCATCGAGGAATTATGCTCCGTACTATGCATAGTCTCTTCAGTTATGTTAGGAATCGAAAACGGTATTTGGAAGGCCATATAATTTACCTCAATTTAGGATAGACTCTTGAATTTTGAAAGAGCCGAAATAGGATGAACGGATCATATAAACCCAAAGGCAAATATAATACAAGCCCATACGAAAAAATATAAATAAGTCTAAATTGAAAACAACGTTCAAACCTATGATTGCGTTGGATAAAAAACGCAATTTTTTTATACGTGTGCATGCAAAACAAACTTCTTGGTAGAGGGGTCTAAATACAGCACAAACAACATTTTCCAAAAGACCAAAAAAAAGTGAAAAAGTATATTTCAACAAAACGATTTTAAACTAACAAG